GGGGAGAGGGGAGAGGGGAGAGAGAGGAGAGAGGGGAGAGGGGAGACGGAGAGGGGGGAGATATCTAGCATCAAATACCACGGTATTAAAAGACCGTCACGTCACCAAACTTCCCCTTGGGTGGGCACCCGTTGATTGGACGTTCATTCATAATCCAGGTTCTGCTCCATGAACACTATTGCGACCCCTAACGACAGGAAACGGATGATGGATGAGTTCTACTACCCAATCGCTGAAATAGAAAGTTCCGCCTCCCATTCCCAAGCCTCAAGTGGTAATCGGTATAATCAAGGCCGCCTTTCCCTGTGAACGCATCAAAAGACAAATCAAGTGAAGGTGTTCCTTATCATTATACAGTACTGTAACGGGAAAAACGATTCTGTTCGTACTTCTGGACATACTGACTAAAATAGAGAGAGCACGCCACGCCATAAAAACGCGCAAACATGGCGCGCAGCCGTTCGATTTGCGCTAATATAATCTCTAAGCGCGATTGTCTCGACCTTCTGGCAAATGTTTTCTTCACTCGCTTAGCTTCCCATTTCGTTTCTGCAGAGAGACAAAAGGCGCCAGCAGGGCGGAGTGTCGGGGTTCGTCGAGAGAACCCTATAAGACATCATCTTCACCTCGAATGCCACGCGTCAACACCGTGAAATGATCGCTCGACTCCTTTCATCAACAAACGGCAAGATTGGCCCAGAATTTTACGGCAGAGCGGACTATATGACATCTGCCTCTGCTCGCCCAGCAATGCACTCCAGTCCCCATGCCAACCTTCCGCCCAGGCATTTCCCTGGAACAAGGGTATATATTTAACACATCAACCCCCCAATGCCAATGCCAATGCCATGTATTACCCCCCTGCCTGGTCACCATAACGCTCGTCCATTTATCTAGTCCGTGGATCCGTCAAGATCGACGGACCCGATGGGCCGATGGCCACAGGTCCATCAAGATCGACGGACCCGATGGGCCGATGGGCCATTGGTCCGTTTTCTCGGGTGGGAGTGGTAGTGTGGTTTCCCCTGCTGCTGGTGACT